GTAAGGCAGTGAGCTGGGGAAACCTTTTCCCTGCATTTTTAGGATGCTGGGCTCCAGGAAAAACATCCCTGAAAATCCTGGGGTCTATAAAAAAAATCTCTGCAGAAGTGTCCAGCTGCTTGACAAACAGGACGTTGTGATCTGATAATAAACCAGCTGGTTACAAGAGATAGAAAGGTTGAATACCATATTCTTCTTGTACCCACGTGGGGATTGGTAAAATACATTCCAAACCTCTCCCCAAAAAGCCTGCTGTCTTCCAAACTGAGATGAATCCAACTGCCCTGCTGTGCTCCTGCCTGTGCTTCCCCTCGGAGAAGAGGGATGTGTTAGAGCAGATCCTTTCCCGCTGACTCATTCTGCTCCATAAACCCTATCCAAGGTTTGAGACTAAGGGAATTATCCTGGCTTGTTAAGGAGCTATTTACCTCAATATTTATAGTTCAGCACTGCCAGAATAACTACAGCAGGCCACTGTTGCTGTTGTTATTATTATTATTACTAAGAGTAATAGTAATCAATATCTAACAGCATGAATGAGAGCGTGGCTTATGACAGGAGTTATCACTCCTCTCCACAATTCCAAACCTCTACAGAATTCCTTAACAGTAGGTGGGCAATAACAGAATTTTATGAAATACAGAATAAAATATTCAGAGGGAATTAAGCACACACTTGGAAAAACTTCCAAGCTACCATGTTGTTAACCATGTGTGTTGTGTCTCCAGAGTTCCACTCTGCTGTTCCCTCGCTTTTCCAGCATTTTCTCTGGCATTGCCCCACAGGGCTCTTGTCACTGATCATCACAGGGGCTCAGTGCCAGCACTGCTGGATGGTTTTGATATGGACAATATGGAAAACAACCTGCAGGGCAAACAGGCACAGGGTACCTGGGAATAACACAGATTACCATCTTCTAGAGATTCCTAAAACCACTCTGCTGTTTGGTTGGTGCAATAACAGTGCTGTTTTTAGAGATAAACCTTGCACTGCTCTGAATCTGGAACCAGAGCATAATGGTAGCTCTGACCTCATATGTAGGCATATTATATGTCACCATTTTAATTTAGCTTTTAGATGATTATTTTCCTTTTGCTAATCTGACATTGTATCCAGAAATTCACGTGCAGGAGGCAGCTTCTTCTGTACCAGCTGAATTAGAGGTGCCACCCCCCTCCAAAAAAACCCCTCATATATATTTTCCATGTCTTTTGAAACCAGTTCAGGAGCCCTGTACCATCATGGAACCACATCATCTGTATAAACATCACCGGGGGTAGCTCATGTTTAAGCAAAACCTAAATTAGAAAGTTCAGTAATTCCACTTCGTGTTAACAAAATATTCTTGGATGAGATCGTGGTGTATAACAAAGGAAGGGAAAAAAATAAAATAAACCACCAAAATAAATCCTAAAACAGTTTAATAAGAATCAGCTTCTGTTGGTTTTAAAAGTTACCAAGGCATGAAAGCACGGACTGAAAAAAACCCTCCTGCTCCATCAGAACTGGCTCTGAGGCACACGGTGCCCTCATTTCCCAAAGTCATCAATGTCCTGGTCCTACTGCAATTAGCAACTGCTAATGTAGGTGATGAGCAAAAGAGAGCAGGGCTTTGGCACAGCACCCAACCCACCAACAGGACAAACCAGAAGTGATTAGAAGAGATGAGACAGCACGGAGGAGAAGGACAAGGTGGGGAGGCAAAGTACTGAACACTTTTAACTCTTCCAAATTTCAGAGGAGGGTCCAAATTCTCTGCAGTGGCACCACGGCTGCCCCAAGTTCTCCTCCCATCATCCATCCAAGGTCTCTTCACTGGGTTGTTCCAATTCTGCAGGTCATTTCACACCAGTTGGAAGCCTTAAACTGTGAAACAAACCCTTGTTCTTAATAAAGAATTATCACCTTTGATATCTGTATGACAAATCACTACAATAAAGAAAAGGTGTGATCTAGAAGCAATAACATTTTATTTATGATCAGCCTTTCCCTGAGTTCTTACTTTACTGTTGTGAAGGTACTCAGATGCTTTTTCCAACTGGAAAAGGTATTTTTAATCCCTTTGTTATCCAATCCATGGAATTAATGCTGAAGCTCCCCTGGAATTGTATGATGGATAAATTCCAACACTAAGTGAAGTCTTTTTTTCCTGCCTAAATACTCAAATCAGGGTGACAATATTCTTATGATGAAATCCTTGTTGGTAAAAGAAGAAAAACAGTTTTACCATGGCTTTTTATTTCAATTCATAGAGACTTCCTCTTTAAAAGGCTGATAAGAGGAACTATAATTTGCTTAATTAAAGATTGCCATTAATTTGAAAACATGCTAAAAGTCTTTGTCTCTGCTCCCTCAGCCTTCCTCCAATATTCACACACATTTACCACATTATTTTTCACAGTGCATCTCCAGTCTCTGAACTAATGCAGCTATGCCAGGAATAGAGCAAAGAAGGGAGCAGCTCCTTTCATTAGCTTAAAATGCCCTCTTGACTGTGTTTTATTTATACTAATAAATCATAGATAGGAACTCCTGTACTCAAAGAATCACAGCAAAAATGTACTTTTTCACACTGAGGTCCATTTACCACTTCATTTTTACATTACTTTCTGTTGATATTTTGAAGCAGCTTTAGGTTAAAACCACAGCTAGTTTTAACTCAATATAAAAGTATCTGCCATTTTAATTACCCTTTTTTTATTATTTTAATTGAGGGCTCCACTCTCCATGGTGCTATGTCTCCTTCATGCCACCAAGAGCCAGGACATCAGTCTGCATTTAGAGGGAACCTCGAGGGAAGCTGAGGGACCCATATGGCAAAATGTGCCATTATCCCTAATTAAAAATTGATAAGAACTAAATTTTTAAAACATCCAGTTACTGCAAAGAGTGGAAGTGGGCTGAACATACAGCACAGAAGCAAGAGCCCAAATTTATACCCTTATAATCTGACTGCAAGTTATTGTTCCTGTACTTTGCAGAAGTTCAGTTAAATCAGAGTGAGCTGGTGTGTCTGGCAAGGAGAAAATCCAACCTCCCCTACGTCCAGCAACTCCCCACAGCCCACACACCCCCCAGAAAGGATTTGAACTGAGATTCAGTGACATTATAATGGCAGTGATGCATTTAAATTCATTAAGCAAGGTAGTACTGGAAATAATTACCAGCAGCTTTAAATCTGAAGTGCTTATTTAGTGCAGATTTCATGTTGAGACATTTTAAACCACCTCTGCAAGGCCAGAGCCTCTCTCTAATTGTTAGCTGGGACTGACAAATATATATTAATTTTAAAACATACATGTGCCATGCAATCAACAGAGCAGAAATTGCGGGTGGTTCTTCAGAGTTAAAAAAAAAAAAAAAGCTTTCAATTTATTAATAAAACTGCAAGGTACATATGTTACTGCCAGGGGGGATTAAAAAGAAAATGTTCCATGAGATAATGTCAACACACTGTTCCACAATGTCAGAGAAGAAGAAATATTGTCACTGATGAGATGTGGCTGACAAGGTTCCCAAGCCAGGTGGGAACAACAAAGGATTTCAGGTTTAGCTCCAGTTTGGTGCTGGTGTTTGGGTTTTGTTTATTTTGCTGGGCAGGTTGAGGGTGACTCCAGCTTCAAAGGACAGAGAGCTGCCCTTGGGGCAGGGGATGCCCTGTCTGGGCACTGGGCCTGTTAATGATGAATTAATTAATGCTCTTAAATGACACTAATTATGTGTACAGGTCCAAGCTTGCACTTGTTTTTTTACATTCTGCTTTAGCAGGAGCTAAATATAAGCTGTAGAAAGGCAGAGGAGCAGCAGTGGAATGTGAAGTGAAAACGTCTGTGTGATGGGAGGAGGAGGAAAAGTCCAGAGGGGGGGATTGCTTGGCGGGGACCATTCTTCACTAGTGTGGAGAGTAATGTTTTAGTGCCTGGGGAATGGTAGTTTCCTATTACCAAACCTCTTGGAAAAGGCTTTACATGAATCCCTACACTTCTGTCTCCCTGCTGGCAGCTGAACGTTTCCACTGAGGTGGGTGTTGGGTTGAAGTGTCCAGAGGTAAAGCCTTGCAGGGTTAAATCCCACCCTGTGTGAGGTACCAACTCCAAGCAGTGTCCCATCAGTCTCTCCTAAATCCCCCAGTCGGTGGGTGCTGCAGCGTGGGCCTGGCACAAGCTTTCTCAACGATCAGAACTGAGCTTTGTGCTCTATTAAACCCTGGATTGATGCTGCTCAAGCACCTGGATGGCTGGAGGCAAAGGGAATGGGCAGAGGATGCAGACAGTGTTTTTTCCTGTCACTTCCTTATGAGTCCTGTGACGCTTTGACCTCCTAAAAATCGTCTGCAAGCAAAGCAGAGCCACGTGTAACCGCACCAACCCCAGCTCAGGGATAACTTCCAAGGCTCCACGGAAGAACTGGGTCACAAATCCAAAGAGACCTGCTCCGTCTGCTGGAGTAATGGGATTAAAAGAAGGGCTCTGGGAGCCAGGACACCGGGCTGCCTTTAGAGGGAACCTCGAGAGAAGCTGGGGGACCCACATGGCAAAATGTGCCATTACCCCTAATTAAAAACTGATAAAAACTTGAATTTTTAAACCACCCTGTAACTGCAAAGAATGGAAGTGGGCTGAACATACAGCACAGAAGAACCCAACTCTACAACCTCGTAATTTGACTGCAAGTTACGGCTGCTGCGCTTTGCAGAGGCGCCGTTAAACCAGGCTGAGCTGGTGTGCGTGGAGAAAACCCAACCCGATCAACGCCCAGGCTGGGATGTTCTCAGCGCACGACCCGGCCGGGCGCAGACGTTTGGGTTGTTTCCCGGACCCTTTTCCCGGTCGCTCTTCCCGAACTCCTCCCGGCAGCGGAGCTGCGCAGGCGCCCCCCCCCGCCTTCCCGGCGCAATGGGCCGGCCCGGCCCTCCCCCCTCGCCCCGCCCTCACATGGGCCGGCCCGGCGGAGGCCCCGCCCCGCGCGGAGGGAGCCGCCATTGCGGGTTGTTTGTGCGGCCCGGCGGGCGCGGAGGGAGCGCGGGCCGAGGCGGCGCGGCGGCCGCGGACTCTTTGCCCGCCATGTCCACCCCGGCCCGGCGGCGGCTGATGCGCGACTTCAAGAGGTGAGCGGGGCACGGAGCGGGGACCCGCCGCCGTCCTGCGCCTTCCTGCCGAGCGCGGGGCTGGCGCCGAGCGCCCCCCCCCCCGGGGTCAGGGGCGGCGCGGGGGCTCCCTCAGGGCGAGCGGGGGATCCCGCTGAGGGGAGCGGCGTTGGGCTGAGGGGAAAGGGGGGGGTCTCTCCGAGCGGAGCGGGGCTTTGTTCGTGCCGCCGAGCCCCGGCGTCGACGGCTGGGGGCGTGTGAGGATAAAAGTTGGAGCGGCGGCTGCGAACGAGGGCACCCCGGGAATGCCCCCGGGAATGCCCCGGCAGGGGGACGGGGCGTCGGGATGTCGCCGTGGGATCCCGGCGCTTCCAGGTGTCCGTGGACACCTCCCGCCCCCCCGCCCCTGCCGAACACCCCCGGTATCCAAAGGCTCCGGCTTTTGGGATAGCTCAGGCAGAATTTAGGAGCGTTCCAGGCTTGCAGCGTCTCCCTGAAAATTAAGGGGTTTTTTGGGGGGGGCAGGCTCCAAAAAAAACGAAGCGCAGACAAGCCGAGGGGCCCTTTTGGTTTGTACGTAGCGAAAGCCAAAGTGCCCGTCGGTGTTTTTAAAGCACACGCTGCCCTCTCTAAAGTTGCGTGAGGAATCTTTTGTGTAATGCATGCAGACTCCTAAAGGAGCAGTTATTAGCTGCGCTCTTTTAAATGTTAATGGCCGAACCACTGACTCTGGAATAAATTGTTTCCAGTCTGACACGTAAACGCACTTGGAGAGTGTGGAGGAGGGTGGGGGTTCCTTTGTAGGATTTACAGTATGTCCTGGGGTTTCTCCGGGCCGGAGTTGCTCGGGAGTAGCTGGAGGTGAGTCAGCTTTGATAGTGTCTCTTTTTTTAGCATAGCGATGTTATCCCGGGCCCTGAAAATACATCAGTAAACAGTTGACGTGTATTGTAGTTGCACGGAAGGCTACAGCGGGAAAAGCCCGGTTTGTGGACTTCCAAGAAGTAGGAGGTTTTTTGGGACGTGGAGCCCTCCCCCGCTGTTGTGTGCGAGTGTTGGTGTTTGTTAAGAGGGTGTTTCTTGATTCCCGTTCAAATCAAAACAGGATATTCAGACTTTATTGTGTTTGGTTACACAGATGACATGAACCAGTGATTTTTTTCAGGCTGAGTGACTAAGTAATTTTTGAAGATTGCAATCAGATGTGGGTTTTATGCCCTTATAATCCTAGAACGACTGGTTTAATAATTTTGCAGTTAAGGCTGGAGAGAAGACTTTAAAGCTATGGAAAAGTATAACGAAGTATACACAAAGCAAATAAAATTTATTTTTCATATATATGGCACCTCAAAACTTACGTAACTTTTTCATGCCAGTTTTTGTTTTACTCTGCCCTTTCCTAGTTATATATTTGTTTAGCCTCATGTTACTTGTACTTCATCACACTGAAACAACAGATCGTGTGCTGTGAACTCTTGATTCACGTCATCAAATACAAACTGTTTTCAGATGCTGTGATTGTCAGGAGCAGCGAAGAGAGAACAGTTCAGCAGATTTTGTAGCTCCTCTAATTTGTTTGACTAAACCAAAAGGAAAAAAAAAACCCACAACCCATTTTTATTTATTTATTTATTTTTGCTGATAAATAGGGATTACAAACACCACGTTTTCCTGAGGTGTTTAAGACTTCCAGGTGCCCATTGCAGTCCTTGCCAGACCCTTTCTGCAGTTAGCCCCTGTGACAGTAGGGTGCACATGTGCTTTAAAGTTGATTTAACCCCCCGAGCCGTGTTCCAGATGCATTTGTGAGGCCAGTGCTCAGGCGCTGCTGCTGGCAGACAGCCCGGCTGTCACGGAGGAGGGAGTCCTGTTCCTCCTTTCCCTGACCAAAATAGTAGGTGGTTTATGCTGTTGATCCTGAGCTGCCTGAACTGCATGTGCTTGGAGAGCAGGGATGTAAACACGGGGTTCAGAGGGGCTCAGCATCCATGGACACATGGGGTTTATCCCAGGTGAGGCAGTGCTGGTGCAGGAGCATTGCCTGGCTGTGCTTTTGTCAGCTCTCAATAAATCTGTATTTGCACATCGACATTTAGTTAAAATTTGTCCCTTGGTCTGCAGAGCTTTTTGTGGCAGCTTGTTCATAAGTTACTGTGATGTGATCAAACCTCATGGTAAGACTCCAGAATTCCTTGTGAGGCAAAGGCAGCCCTGCATTTTCCTTATTCTTGCATAACTGGAGGTAGAACACTGAGGGAGTTTGATCAAGCAAGTTGTTTGGGACTCACTGATTTGTGTTGTCCAGGGTCTCATGATGCTTAAGCAGAAACCCTGCCCACAGAAGGCTGGGCAGAGGGGAGTATTTGAATCCTGTTCTTTGGCTGCAGTACATGTTTCTGTCTGCTCCAAGTTTATGAGGCTTTCAGTAAGTAACATGCTTTAGGATTAAGGAACTAAAAATAATTTTAAATGCTCCCATGATTGCTGTAGAGATAAACACATTGTTGAACTGGTAGGAGGGAGCAGTGCACAGGTTTTCCCTTCGCTCCCTTTTGAAGCAATCAGCTTGCCAGTCAAAATAGGCTTCTACCAAATTTAGCCACATTGCATGCATGGATCTGAGAATGCAGGAAAAGCTCCACTGACAGTCCCTTGTGCTGAGTCCCAGCAAGTGTGTGCTCTGTGTGAGTGCCACTGCCTGGGTCTGTGTGAGTGCCGCTGCCTGGGTCTGTGTGAGTGCCGCTGCCTGGGTCTGTGTGAGTGCCACTGCCTGGGTCTGTGTGAGTGTCACTGCCTGGATCTCAGTGTGCTCTGTGTGTGTCACTGCCAGGATCTGTGTGTTCTCTCTGTGTCACTGCCTGGATCTCAGTCTGTTCTGTGTGAGTGTCGCTGCCTGGATCTGTGTGAGTGTCACTGCCTGGATCTCAGCTCCTGGTTGTGGCTGCAGCTTTTTCTCCTCTTCATGGTGGCAGCCAGCAGCAATTGCTCTGTCATAGTTCACTATGCAGCACTGTAAATCCCAGCTGTCCGTGGTGCTTTAAGTTATTTTACAGTTAATCCTTTGCTCCCTGAACACTTAATCAGACCTGTTGGGCTCTTGGAGTGTCTCAGAGTAAAACATGAGAAAACTTTTATGTGCGTTGCCTTGTAGGTTTGTCTTTCAGAGTATCGATAATCTGCATGTAATGCTTTGTGTATTCTCTGATTTGGAATGAGAAAATATTTACAAAATGTGGATGTTGTTGTTAAATTATACTTGCAGGTGGAAGTGTTTCATCTATATAAGACTTGTCATTCTGTGATTCTGATTTTTAGATTGCAAGAGGACCCTCCTGTGGGTGTCAGTGGTGCACCATCCGAGAATAATATAATGCAGTGGAATGCAGTTATATTTGGGTAAGAGTTTTTGGTCACTAGGAAATTCTATACCAGAGGGCTAAATATAATAATCTGGTGTTTGTTTTTACAATTATTCTCCTTTTTTCTGTACATAAAGTCAGCAAACTTAGAAAAATGAGTAAGGATGCTGTTGTGGTAATAATTTGTTTTCAGGAATAAAGCGGAATGCGTAGGGAAGAAAAACTTTAAATTTTAAATTTGTTCAGCTTTTTGTGTCGAATAAAGCTTGCATGTGGCTTATTGAAGGGGTTAGACTGTGTAGGAGTTGGGTTATGAAAAAGCAGGATCCTCTTTAAAGTACATAAGTGTCACATGTTCCAGGCCATTAAATCCAGATGTATTGGCAGTGATTGGATTGGTTCCCAGTGGGACGAGGTACAGGTTCTGTCTGGGAAGCTACATATATCCTACAGAAGAGGAGCTGGCTTAGTATCCTTTCATAAAACTGCAGTATGCTTGCTAGTAATCTGCTCATTAATTCCAATCTGGTCACATAATGGCACATGTATTGTTTGGGATGATGATAAAGTAGATATCCCAAATAGCAGAGTGACTGTGGAGGAGTGTCTTAGATACAACAAAGCTCTCAGAGATTGCTTCTGCATGCTTCTCTAAATATTTAGATTATTGCTTCTACCTATATCTTGGAGAGGATGAAGAAGATATAAATTTGTTGAGTTAATTTGCCTGTGTGGAAGTAGGTAATGATCACTTTTAACTGGAGTTTCTTTTCAAAACCTTTCAGGCCAGAAGGGACACCTTTTGAAGATGGTAAGCCACTAACTTTTATATTCTTTGTCATTCTTATAAATATTGCTGGTATTAAAATTGTTCTGCTCTGGAAAAATAATAGATGTTATCTGTATATAATTTGAAACAAACCAAGCAGGTGAAGGTTTGTTGGCCATAAAAATATGCATCTTGATCTAAGGAGTGTCTTGTCACAGTGGCTGATGGTTAGTTAGGAAGCTGTGAAGCAGTGCTGCTATCAAGCCTTGTTTGTACATGTACACCAGAGCTTTTAGCAGGAGATGTTGGCCTAATGCTGCCAGATGTGTTTTCACATCTCCAGAGCTGAGCTCAACAAGAGTCTGCTTTTCTCGTTTCATCTTCCTGGCATGTTTGATTCATTGCTGTTCTCCTAATGAAGAGCAGGTGAAAAACCTTGAATTGTTCTGAATATAGAACTCAGTGAGGGCAAGGGAATCCCAAATTTGTACATAAACATGAAAGTTGGTGTGTAATGAACCTCCCTTAGGCATATGAGGAATAATGAGTTTAATAATTATAGTATTATTGCAGTAATTGGCAGCAGATGGGTTTTTCTCTGTGTTGGGTTGGAGGAGTTACAGTAAATTATTCACTGATCCATAATAAAGGTTTTCAGTGAATCAGTTATGAGCTCCGAAGACTGAGATTGCTGATTATGAAATTCCAGTGGTTTTTTGCTGGCCCCACAGTGCCTTCTTAATGAAACACCTTAAAGTCACCCAAGTCCACGGAACCAGCATGTTGGGTCATGGAAAAAGGGGAGGGCAGTGGGATGATGTTGGCTCTAGCTGCCTTTGCCATGCATACAGTGAGTCTCCAAGCTTCTACCCAGCTTCTGCTGCTGGGTTTATTACTCTTAAATTTCACTGTCACTTGAAATATATGAAAAGAAATCAGACCCAGTGTTGTTTGTTTATGTAATGGTGAGAAGAAATATTGATCGTGGAGCACATAAATTAATTTCTTGTCTATGTTCCTGAAGATGTTCTTTTGTTGTTAGTTATCTGATTGTCCTTATCTTTGTTTGGACAGGTACTTTTAAACTAGTAATAGAATTCTCCGAAGAATATCCAAATAAACCTCCAACTGTTAGGTTTCTATCAAAAATGTTCCATCCAAATGGTGAGTGAATCATCTTTATTTAGCTGTAATACCCATTAAATATTATGGTGTGGTCATGTACTCTCCAAACCTCCAGAATGCTTAACAACTCTTCATCTCTCTTCATTGCCATCTCCTAAGTAGATGTCTAGGACAGCAACTGCTTGATGAAAAATTAAGAATTATGATGCTATTAAGAAGCAGCTATCTGCCTCTTTCTAATCAATATGTACCCTCAGTAGCAAAGCCTGTGAGTATTTTCAGCACTTAGGTTGGTTTCAAGAGGCAGTTCTGGTTGCCGCTTCCTGCCCCCTTCCATTTAACAGCAGTTGTGTCTGTGCAGCCACATCGTGACTGCAGGGACCTGATGGAGCCAAATGTTATTTATTTCTGCTGGGCAAGATTTCAAGTCCCTGCTTTTGTCCTGTGCTCTGGACCAAGCTGGACTAGCACAGGGAGAACATGAGGATGCTCAGTCACAGAGGAGGCAGCTGACCTGAACTGGGTGATGAGGGCAGCACTGGGAGGGTGTGCACCAGGGTTCCTCCCCAGCACTTGATAGGTTTGGCTCAGTTATTCCTGCCTGCATTCAGGTTTTATTGAGAAAAACCCAAACCCTGCCTCTTGCCCCTCTGTAGCAACAGCGCATCACGTCCTGTGCAGCCCAGTGTGTCTTCTGCCAGGGGGGTTGTACTTTGTTGGGTTTTATTGGCACAAACACCTGGAGCACAAGGGTGTAGGACTCAGTGGTGAGTCTCAGGTTCACACAGACTCCATTACTCCAGACAGAAGCAGGATTTCAGGCACACTTTCCCATATTTTCTGTTGTCTGCCTTGGTGCATCTCATAGTGAGCGCAGGGAATGTGAAAACAGGGCAAGAACTCCCCCATCCAGTGTGTGATGGCCTGAGTGGGTTCCAGTCCTGCAGTAAATGCCTTGCTGCTCCCTGGGAGGCCTCTCTGTGTGACAATATGGATCAGTCACACTGGAGGAGCAGCAAACCCAGCCTGCCCATTCCTGTGCTAATGCCAAAATCTTCAGACCTTCCTTCTTTTCCTCTTAAGTGTTCTGCTAATTTCAGTAATAAATCTCCAAAACACAACATGTCAAGCTACAGAAGCCTGTGAGACATAACTGCTGTCCTCTTTCCTAAAGCATTAATTTATGCACAGAGTGCTTTGGAACAATAACTCTGCCTTGAACAGTATGTAATGAACTATAAATCTGACAGGTTCTAAATGCTCTCTGTTGTGTTCACAGTGTATGCGGATGGCAGCATATGTTTAGATATTCTTCAGAACCGCTGGAGTCCAACATATGATGTTTCATCTATTTTAACTTCAATTCAGGTAACTTTGCATCTATTTTACCAAACAATGATGTTGTTGTTTGTCTCTATTCCAGAATACCCAGCTCAGTGGTGGGGATAAGCCAGGCATCTCTATCGAGGGGAACTTCAAGCCCCTGTGAGCTAAGCAGTAGCTTTTCAGATCAAATAAAGGCAGAGGTGCTGACCTACATAATTACTGATTCTGAGCTACAAAACTGCCATTATATATTTTTGGACAGGAAAGCAGTTACTGATTTGGGTTCATTTTTAACTGTTTTTAGTCAAGATGGGACATCAGCTGCAGAAATTTGCCTAGTGTTTCAAACACTAACCTTTATCATGAAGCTCTGCCCTTTGAAGTCCTCAAAGGGACAACAGTCCTGGGACCTACTACTTGGAATAAGTGAAAATGGCCTGGCACAGCAGAAAAGCACATTTCCTTTCCTCCTATGTGATTCTGTTTTTCTACAGTGAAGTTTTGTAGGAGACATCGTAAGCCCCTCTTCAGTCCTGAACGACAATAGAAGTGTAATTATCAAATAGTCAATTAGCTTCATGGTGCTGACTGGCACAAAGGACCCTGTCCCTCTTAAGCTTGTGAACCTACAAGTGTGTGCAGCACTAATGCTTAAGCAGGGTGTAATTTGAGGTTCAGCAATGTAATTACGGGTGCCTAACCATGAGTTTAACCAGGTTTTATTCATCTGGCCCTTCTGAGTCATGTCTGCCCTGTGAAACACATTTGACTTGAAAGTTATAACTTGATTTTCCCTGATTTAAACGTGTTGGTTTGTCTCACATTATGTTTTCCCCTCTTTCCAGTCTCTGCTTGATGAACCCAATCCAAACAGTCCAGCAAACAGTCAGGCAGCACAGCTTTACCAGGAGAACAAACGTGAATATGAGAAAAGAGTTTCAGCTATTGTGGAACAAAGTTGGAATGATTCGTAACAGCTGCTGTGTTACTCTCCATCCTCATAATCCTTATGTACAATTTAACTCTCAGTAGAAAGGCTACCAGAAATTTCAAGTGCCACAGTTCTATGAATTTGCATAAAACCTCATTTGCAAACAAAATTAAGCCCTCCAGTTTAGGAAAGCTAAAAGCTTGTGTATCTCGATTAACGTCCTTTTTATTGCATGGTATGAACTAAGTTATTGCTACATAAATTTGTAATATATCCTGTTTGTATTTTTTTTCCAAGTGTATAATGTTGGTGTGGAGTTTTCATGACAGAATATACACATTTTGTAAATCTGTACTTTTTCAAATATTGAATGCCTTATTTTTGAATTCTTTAGATTTTTAAATTGGAGAAAAAGCACTTAAAGTTTTTATATATGAATATTTCATGTAAAACTGTTAAATACATAACCTTAGTGCAAGACATTCTGCTCTCACTCTGTATCTGTTTCCAAGGGCTCATTTTTAGTCCATTTTCCCTTCATCTGTGCTGATGATACCATGCACTTTACAAACAGGAAAGTTAATCCATGATGTAACTGTCTCCACGGGATGTCTTTGCTTCTGCACCAGAGCTTAGCTTGATTCTGTGTGTCCTCAGTTGTATGAGGAAGAGTTTTGGTAGCTGCTAATGACAAATGGGGAAACAGATTTAACTATTTTGCTCAAACTCCCACTTTAAACCAGCAGGGGAGTTGGAAACACCACCTGGATGAACCAGGCTTGGTTTTATTTTTCAGGGAGATTGCATTTAACCAAGTTGTAAAATGTTGTCATCTAAATCTGTCCTATATTCACACACTGTAATATAGTTTTGAATACCTTCCAGTAATTAAAGAGGTGTCCCACTAGTTTCCCTTGGGGGTGGGGAAAAAATTAATCACCAACAGAAGAAAACATGCCTGCAGATTTAATGGAGGTATTCTTTGAGGCTTGGCTGTGCATTACCTGGTCAGGTCTCATGTCTGTATCACAGAGGTTCCACATTCTCCTAAACTGCTGGTTTTAAAGAAGTTTGGCTTTGCTTTTGGAAGTGTTGATGTGGTGGTAATTTCTTACTGTATTCTGTAAATCAGGCTGGATGACTACAGTAAAGAATTAGGCCATTTTTTTTTCTTCCAGCAGCAAAATTGTAACCCCTTTGTCATAATTCCAACCAGCATTACATATATATTAAAACCTCCAAATCCTATACCAAAATACAGCTCAGTGTTGCCTGGAAAGCAGTGGAAGTTTATTTCAGCTAGAAGAGAAAATGTTTATTTGCAACAGTCATGACTAAAAGCCTCAATGCACTGGAACAGGAATATCAATTTACATCTCACACCTTGTGAAGTTCTGTGATTTCTAGGAGCAGCACTCTCAGGTTTAAAACCAGCACTCAGATTATTGTCAAGGCTCTTAGGAGCTTGTGGAGTAAAACTGCTCTGGCTTAGACAGGAATTAGTGTGCACAGCCACAGTAACAGAAGCATCAGCGCTAAGTAACAACTGAACTACACTCCCATGAAGTCAGTTTGCTTTCCTTGAGTTGGTGAATTTGTGTTTAAAAATTCTTCAATCTGTGTCTGATTAACAGAAGCCACAGAGGATCCAATTTGCCTTTTGGCTGTGGTGGAGTTACAGTAACACTGGCAAAGTGGTGCTGCAGGGCCTGAAGCAGCATCAGGGCAGAGATATTTGTTCACAATGTGGAAAAGCTTCCTGTTTCTAAGAATTAATCGAAGCTTTGAAGATGATTTTTTTAAATTTTGCCTCCTGTTTCAGTATTTTTGTTCCTCTGACGTGTGCACGAGAGTCATTAGTGTCCACATTAATTTGATTATTCCTGGACAGCCAGTTTGGCCTAGTTAGAGATCGATGGTGCTCGGAATGTGTTTGTGTGTCTCTGGGATGGGGGCAGTGGATGTCTGAGAAACATAATTGGAGCAGAAGGAGGTTTAATTAAGTGATCAAGCACTGCAAACTGCCCGAGCTGGGACCCACAATATGCAGGGATATGAGGGTGTCTGAAGGTTTGGGAGCATCCTCTGCTGAGGGTGGAATTTGGAGCCTACACTTAGCAAAGTCTCAGTGGAAAATGTCCTGCTGGCCCTCAGACAAAGGTGATGATTGTGAGTTACTGTATTCCCAGTGTATGGTGGGGAGGGACATTCCCTTAATTCACATGTTAACACTGTGTGATGGCTGTGGCAGCTGGATATGAACGTTGGGATGCTGAGATTCCAGGTTGGATAATAACCCCTGTGTAGACACTGGTATAGAGGAACTGGCATTTCTTGAGGTGGGATCCTGGAGCCCCTGGGGAGGCTGCACAGTGTCCCACAGAGCTGGGGAGGGGGAAGGACTGGTGACTTCTGCGAGCCCTCCACCAGCACATGAAAAATAATCACAGAGCACAGATCAAAATCTGCTAAAACTTCATAGAGAAACCATTTATTGCCGGGAGTCCCATGAAATTTAAGGACCAAAAGGTTCAAGTACATCAGTTCACAAGAGCACAGTCACAATAAACTTTGTGGCACAGTCACCTTCTTAAACAGTGCACTGGGATGCTTGATTTTTTAATTAATTGATTAGGAGATACACTAAGCTTGCTAGGACAGTGGGATTAATTAAGGAAGGACTGACGGGTACAGGGTGTGGGGTTTATATCTTCTCACGGGGCTTTGGTTCATTGATATTAAACAGCTCATGATCACTTCTTTTCCACGGGATTCCATATAAAGATTGAAAATCACCGTGGAGACATCTTTAAATTATTCACCCCAGAGTTTTTGTCCTGTATATCCAAGTCATTCACCTGATTTTACAGGTGGACAGACACAGACCTCCAGATCTGCAGGATTTTAGTGTCAGGGTTGTAGGTGTGAGCCATTCCTGGGCATTGCCCACCCCGAGTTTCAGGTCCACCTTTGCCTTCAAGTTTCTCGTAGCGACATTATTCATAAAGAGGCATCAAACAGTGCACTGCTTGTGCTGCTCTCTTCAGATCTCTGTTCCCTGAAGATGTCTCATCCAAACACAGTCCCAAGCCAAAACTACGGGACTTGGATCTTCACAAATGTGATTAACTTCAGCACTGTGAGTCGTCCCATTGGGATTCTTCACCGTACTACAGATAAATGTGTGTAATTGCAGAATTGAGGCCTTAGGCTGTGAGAAGTGAAGAAATCACAGCTTGAGGTACTATATCTTCTGCTTCTTTGTGGGAGGTTTTGTATTAATAGTCAATTAATCCAATGTGTCAAACAAATAAAGCTTTAAATATTTAGAGATTAGGAGGTGCCTAATAAGAAATTTACAGGGGAAAAGGAAGATTCCCTGATCACTGCAGCAGCACTGAGTAATTCTAAATAAAATAGGTAGGATAACATAGGTAAATGCTTCACATTTGACATGTCATGGTTCTGTAAGAATTTTTGATGTGTATAAAAATGCACCAGGAGAGGAAGAGCCTTCTCATCCAGCCAGACTTCCCAACCTGTGTTTTTGTTTGAGCTTTTTTACTGTTTGTGGAAGCTGTCCCAGGCAAATACTATGCCTTTATTTGTTTAGAGTTGTTTTTTGGAAGAGGAAAGATGTGATCAGCAATCTGCTGTAATGTGTGAGTTGGCAAGGCAGGTTCCCCACCTCTCCTCTGGACGGGAATCCGTGGTGAGTGGCTGGTTGGACTGTGAGTGGGAAACAGGGACCAGACTGTGGGTGAGTGGGCAGCTCCAGCACTCTGTTTAATTTGTTATTTAAGTATCAGAACATTTATCTGGCCTTCTCTGCCTGATTTTGGTAATCTTTCTAATGGAGAAGCTTCAGGTGAGTACAGGATTCCTGTGTCCCATGTCATCACTCACAGATCCTCCTCAGTGCACCCAACTTCCTTAGAAGATGCAGTCTGTTATAAACCCTTGGATCCAGCCTTGGGCCATACAAACACCGTGCAGGCAGAGTGGTAAATGATTTAGGAGGCATTCTTTTTATTTCATGAACGTTCTGGGGATAAAACCAGTCCAAAACTGGGAGGCTGATGACGAACTGTGTATTACTGCACAAAAATGGACAGTTCTGTTGAACACGAGTCTTCTTCAGAGTTAATATCTGGAACTCTCTTCATATCAAAAGAAGAGTGGTGAAAGAGGTGAAGGGGAAAGGAGCTAAATATAAAAAAAAATAATTAAATATGTAGACTCCAAGAACAAAACCCATTAAGAACCCAATGCTGCTCTGCTGTTGCTGTGCATTCAAAGGATATGAGTCATTTTAGAAAAGAATGTATCTTGGATTATGTGTGTGTACAGAGAAGAGGGCTTTTTGAGCTATTCTAAAAACCTCAGTTAGATAGGAGTGTTTGAAAATAAATGGGATTTAGAGTTTGAGGGTTTTTTTTTTTTGCTTAGCATTGTTATTGCACCTTGAGTTCATCTCATGCCCAGCCACCACGAGCAGAGGACAAAAAAGAGGCAGAACTTTTTAGACTCTGTGATAATGACTGTAATTAGCATCATCAGCTATGGAAATTGCAACATTCCCTACAGGTTTCTTGTCGTTACCCCATGTTTCTGCAGTGAAAATAAAGATTTTTAGACAGGGTATCTTCTGTGTTTAGCCCTGTCCCACTAATGGTAACGTTCCAGCCTCCGTGACTGTGTGAATCCATTCTTAATGCCTGTGTCTGCTGTGGTCTGTGTGAAAACTGCATCCTGCCAGAAAGCAAACATGCTCCTATCAAACAGTGGACGTTGTTCAGCATCCAGAATGAAGCCTTTTTCTTTATGATGTGGTCAGGGCACGTAGCGTGGGATTTTCTGAGCTAGCGCAAATGTTACTAGAGGGAAGTGTGTTTTAAAATCCCAGTTTGTGAATGTTTTAATTGGAAGTTCAGTGGGGTCATAAAATGAATTATTTTTGCCCTTAAACACATGCCAGGGATGGGTCAAACTACTGTGTGAAGGCAGAGTTATGTCCTGATGGCACTGATGGAACTGAGACCTGGCTGCAGAGGCTGCCAGCACTGAAGGTGGGCAGATTTCCCTGCCCAAGCCTCCACCTGTAGCACAGGGTGTTAGACCTCAGCCCCTGGAACTGCAAAGATCTTGAGTTTCTTCCCTTGTTTTTCAGTTTGGGTCGTTAACTGCCGTGTCTGATGCATTTCTGAGCGGAATAATTTTGACAGCTGCCAATTTGGTACACATACCATGGGCTGAGCTGGGAGCCACCAGCCTGGGGAGGATTCTGCTCTACCTGGCACAGCAACAACCCCAGGCACAAAGGGGGACCTAAATATGTATTCATGGGGATGTATTCATTCACTAGGGAACTAGTTGGGCAGAGAAAGGTCACCCCAAGCATCTGAGACCCTCAGTGGTTTTTATCCTGGATAAACCTCTGCTTACAGAAATCAGTGAACACACCCATGTTGTTTTCAAAGCTGTGTTGGACTTTGAACTGCTCGGTCTCGGCCTCAGGTTATTAATTACATTGTTCATTATCATCACCATTTATTTATTATCTATATTTCTGTTCATTTTGAAGCTGATTTGGGTGTGAACAGAAGATTATGTGGGTTCAGGGGTTTGTCTAGAATTCTGACACACACTGCAATGTCCAGTAAATGTAAATATTGTTATTTTATCACTTCACATTAGTGCTATCTTGATGGGAATAGAAGGATTTAGTTCTGAAATATGGTCCTTCACGCAGGCTGAGAGGCAAATTGTCTTCAATGACTGACCAGAGCGGGAAGAAGGCAGAAATGCCATCTCCTCTGAATTAATTATGAACCACACAGCCTTTGCTATTATCTGTTTACACATTATTGGCCTTGTGATGTGCTGGTGAGAGGATTTTCTTTCACTGTCTGGTCCAAACGTACGTTAAGTCCAATTTCATTAAGAAGGCTGCTCGCCTGCCCTGTTGAAAGGGTCATTGTGTTAGTTATTACAGTGTTTTCTTTGTGCTCGCTTCCCCCAAATTCCAGTAACTATTTTGTAGAAAAGTTTGAAAGTGAACTTTTGATGCCTGTGAAAGCTGCTTCATTGACTTTATTGACTCCAGAGCCTGAAGTTCTTTATCCGCAGAGATCTTTAAAAGGACACTAAAAAGTTTCAGCCAAAGCTTATAGAATTTGGTGCTTATAGTTAAGTGTTATAGACCCAATGCTGTTCCCATGGAGACCTAAAGGAATTTTTCCATTGAATAAAGTGGTAGCAAAGCATACCCTTTATTAAGTGGGAAAAGGAATAGACTGGAGAACTCCATTTGTTGTTCCCAGTCTTGTTTGTGGGCTTGCTCTGCTGTATAAAGAAATAAACCCAGGGAAATTTTGGGTCTTTTCACTGCGATTCATCTGCTGCAAGCCCAGGGTTTGTGGGTGAGGGGGTGTGTGGTTCCAGGGAGATAACCCACAGGGCAAAGGCAGAGCTCTCCTTTCGCTCATTGCTGGTGTCTTTCCCTGGAATCTGGGATGTGGAAAGGGTTCCAGTCTCCCAGTTCTCCTGCTTGGCAGAGGTCAGTGGGGCAGCTGGCTGCTGTTCCCAGGTGGTGTCAGTGCCACCTATTCCTGAGGACACTTGTAATGTCAGTTTGTTGAAACAGCAACTTGTTAGCACTGAAATGCCAATTATTTACCAATACCCATAGAAATCCCAAGTAGACTCACATTCAGAAAGTGTTTTCCCACTCTGGAAGTTTGAGATGTTCTCAAGGGGTTGTTGCTTCAAGTAGGGGCTCTGCCACAGGCATGTGGATAGATCCTGCAGCTCTGGGGCACGGATTTACAGAAAAAAGATAAAACTGAGGCCTCAAATTATGCAATGTGTTGCTAAAAAATGGTTTTGGTTGAA